AGCGGGGGTGCGGTTATCCAGCTCAGCTGCATCGAGCGAGCAGCCCAGTCCCTCTGCCCAGCTGGTGCTGGGGTCTGCTGGGGTGGGAAGGGGGGGCTGTCCCTGCCCCAGTGCCTTTCTCGCGGCAGAGCATCCCCCCTCTGCTGATAAATGTCTTCATTTATCCTCAGGGTTCGCGTGGTGGCAGGAAGCCCTCGTCCCGGGATGATGTTGTCTTCCGTTCGGGATCGGCTCTCGGATGAGGCACACGAAGGAGCGGGTTCAAGCTGTAAGCAAAATCCCATTCCCCCCCCGAAAGAGGGGAAACGCGGGGTGTCCTGCCTCTGCTCCTGGGGTGCAGGCTGGCCAGGACACAGTGCTGGGGCTGAGCCCTGCATGCCAGCATGCAGCCCGGGCATCAGAAATGTACCTTGGGGCCAGCTTGGGGGGCTTCGGAGGGGGAACTTAGGCTGCAGAGATGTGGAGCAGAGGTGGATGCGGTGGTCCTACAGCTCTGTCGTCTCTGGGGTCTGTCCTACCCCTCTGCCCTGGGGCCAGCCCTTGCGCTGCGTCCCTGGAGCGGCGAGGGCGTTGGTGTTTTTCACACTGTGGTCATAGGGAACTGTTTCACCTGAATTAAACCGTTCAACCCTGAGAACGTGATGCTCTGGGTTTCAGGCACATGGGAATCGCACAGGAAAACGTCACGTTAGCTTGTAAGAGTTGCTAATGGCCAAAACTGCCGATACTCCCGGGATATTTAAAGGTGAAAATGTTTTCTGTGACCTGCTTAAGCTTGTCTGAAGGAAGGAGGAAGGGGAGTCCCCTTGGGTAGAAGAGCTCTGCCCGGCTGTCGGGCCGTGCTGGGCTCCTGCGAGGCCGCGGGATGCAGGCGTGCCCACAAACGAGCTGAGCCCCTCTAATTAGTCGCCAACGAGGGAGTCCACACACCCAGCTCCTGCCAGCCGTGGAGACGGCGATCTCTGGTTGATGAGGCTGCTCTGTGGTTTCCTGCTCTCCTGTAATTTTCCAGTTAAAGCCAGGCTTAATTTTATTTCTACTTGCAAGTGGTTGCACCGGGTCTCGGCAGCGCAGGGAAGGTGTGAAGTGCTTCGGTGGGGCCAGGCCGGGGCTTTGCAGAGACGCCGGCAGCACCAGAGCTGCAGCGGGGCTGGGAGCATCCGTATCCCGGCAGGCTTCGGAAAATGCTGGCAAACCTCCATGCCAACAGCCATCTGACGCCCGTGGTGTTTCTCATTTGCCACCATGGTGGGTGCTGGGTGCTGCGATTCCGTAGTTATCACACCGGGAGCCTGGGTGCTGGCAAACATTTTCCTCGTCAGGAAACCGGGGGTTTTATTCCTGCCTGGAACCAGGCTCACAGAATCACAGAATCACAGAATCACAGAATAGTAGGGGTTGGAAGGGACCTCTGTGGGTCACCCAGTCCAACCCTCCTGCCCAAGCAGGGTCACCCAGAGCAGGATGCACAGGACCTTGTCCAGGCGGGTCTTGAATATCTCCAGAGAAGGAGACTCCACAGCCTCCCTGGGCAGC